AAAAAAAAAAAACAACATCAGACTCGTCAACAAATATAGACTCACAATCGAAAAACAGATATAATCAGACATCATCGAAAGTGCAGTACTAGACACGGTTAATGGAAAAAAAAAAACAAAGTATATGCACATCAGACTTATCCACACAGACAACTTCTACAAGAACTATATAAGTAACTACAGAAATTGTATCACACGACGCACCCGGTAACACGGTTGTTGACGACGCCATCGCTGAGAACGACGCGGCGCTGGCCACGATCGCGGACGCCTTGGCCGACGACGTGGCAGACAAGTGGGAAGCGCTGGTGCACGAGGTCGAGATCTCGCGCAGCGCACCTGTCTCTGTCAATGCCACCGAGGAATCGCCCGCAGAAGACGACACGACCAACTTGGCAGCTGTCGCGGACGAGAGCGTCGCTGTGCCTCCGGCCATGGACGAAGCCGCCGACGAAGATTCGCCCATAGAGACGACGATTGTCCAAGCCGAGGACATCGATCCACCAGCCGTCGTCATCGACGAAGTCGAGATGGAAGTCATCATGATTGCGCCGTTGCACGACAGCGACGCCATGGACACCGTCGTCGAAGAACTGTCCGAGGTCGACGTCGACGTGGTCGAGGCTACCGACGAAGGGACGGAGAACGAGACTGTCGATGTTGTCGAAGAGTCGACAGTGGCCGACAAAGAGGAAGTGGATGCTGCAGTGCCCATGCCGCGCAGCACGGTGGGTGAGGAGTATGTGCTGGACGATCTCATTGGGAGCACGGTGCCCGTGCACACGCGCGTCGTGGCCGCTGGCATCGTCGACGAGATCATCGAAAGCGCCGTCGCGCGCGTCAACGCCAAGGAAACCGTTGAGGTCGACATTGACGCCGAGATGGACGCCGAGCAGCAGCTCCTTCAGGTCCAGCACGACCTCGCTGAGATCGCCGCGGAGCTCGAGCAGATCAAGGAAGCCAGCGAGAAGATCGACAGCACGAACGAGTCGGACTATATTGGTAGCGAGATCGCGCCACAAGACGAGCCGGTACCGCAGTCATCGGACGCCACGACGGCCGACATTGACAACCCAATGATCCCCATGGCACCGTCAAGCAAGGCGCCGTCAAGCAAGAGCAAGCACTACATGTCGCTCGGGTCGAGCGTCGAGAGTGGTATCGTCATGTACAACGTCCAAGTGCCAAGCGGCCGTGTCATCCACAAGCGCTACAACGACTTCAAGGTCCTTTACAGCGACATGGCGCACGTCATGCTCGTCAACGACGTCCACGGCGGCGGCGGTCTTCCGCCCATGCCTCGCGCAGGTGCAACATTCGTCGTCTTGGTTCTGTCGGCGTACTCACACGTGCGTAGGTATGATGTCGCGCTTCACGCGGCAAAACAAGGCGATGGTTCAGGAGCGCGAGCAGGTGTTCGAGTCGATTTTGAATGCGATTGCAGCGCACCCGATCGCGAGCCGCAGCCCCGAGTTCCAGCACTTTCTGCGTTAAACGACGCGTGTACTTTTACATATAATGATGACGATAATCCCACGCGACTTGTTGCGTGAAGAAACAAAAGTCGTGATGACACACCACCCCTTTGACAAAATGACCTCATATTACAACGCGGGAGCTTTCTGTCCCCTGTTCTGTCCCATACAATGCCGACATAATCTTGAAAAGGAGAGCGCCATGGACTTTGGTTTGGGTCAGAAATTTTCGCGTTCTGACGTGGCAGCTGGATGTGCCTTTGTAACTGTCAATCAATTTTGGTGGGGAAGCAGATGCATTCAGAAAGGCCAGATTGTATCAGCTGTGGGGAGCGACATGCGTCCCAGCTGGGCTTTGCCACGACAGGGAGGCAGAGAGCAGAAGACAGACAGCACCGGTCTCCGATTGGAGAACACGACGAGCTTCGCATGTCTGCTACAATTCCACTCCATTCGTCCTTGGTTCTGCATTTCATACACTTGCTTTGGGATGGGCTGCTTCCAATCGACGTCCGCGCACGAGCCTGGACCAGGACGACGCCGACAGCAGCCACCAGTGCCCCCGCCGCCATCCACCAACACCAACGGCAACTACCCGGACGACAGCAGCTTGTCGTTTTTGAGTGAGAACCCGCCGCCATCGCTCTTGCCGTGCGTATTGAGCTCCGATCTTGCTCAATATTAAGGTCAGTGAGTGTAGGCAGAGCAGCACGCACTCGTCGTTTCCGATGCTGCGGTCGTCGGCGACAAACAGCTACTCGAACAACAAGTCGTACTCGACGAACGC